TTTAGTCTGATTTAAGGTGAGTTTGGTGGAAAAACAAAACCTATTTTAGAAGTTAATTTAACCGAAGCTCTGTTTTGAGGTATTCTGCTGACAGTTTGTGGTCTCTCCAGGTGACCGTGTTCAGCCCTCCTCTTCGCCTAGATCAATATTTCCCAGGATTTTTAAAACAACATGTTTTGATGATGGCTGGTGGAAAAGAGGGGGTAAGAACAGAACAGGAGGAAAGGGGGCGAGAGCGAGGGAGAGGTGAAGGAGAAATATGTCGAGGGAAGGCTGCTAAACAGGAGCGAAGGAGGAAGAGGGAGGGATGGAAGGAGGGAACAGCGATCTGTCAAACCAGGCAGACTTCTCCTCCGCCCAGTAATCTGAGGTACAGTGTTTGTTTATTTTTCCTCCTCATTTAGACACAGGGACACACTTCGGGGTGGGAGGGGAAGCTGTTGGCCATCTCAACAAACCCATTTCCTTGACCCTCATTGTGTAGCGAATACAAAATAGTGTTTGGCAAACCAGAAACCCTCCCTGAGGTTTCTCTGGTGACAATGGAAATACAGATATAGGGCTCGTTCAATACAATTTTCCATGCTGGGAACAAATGATTAACATTCTGTGAATTCTCCACCTTCCTTCAAATAGTCAAGGCTGCTGTAAAGTCAGCCCATGTATGTGAAAGCCTCGTCCTTTTTTTTATTTTCTGAGGCTGTCTGTGCAGTGACAGCATCTGATTCTCCTCTTTAAGCCAACAGAAACATCTCAATCCCACACACTTAACACTCACACAAAGGAGGTGATGTGATGCGACTCCGTGGATGATTGTGAATCTGTGTTTTGGTCTATTCAGGCTTGGCCCCGTCTTTTATTTTGTAAGGTGAGTGGGGCTCAGCTCAATAGACGTGACTCGGCACCGAGCTGGACCCTTCCTCTGCTTTTCTTCCGCGGACAAAAACAGGCAGAACTTGGGACAAAAGATCCAATTACACGCCACTAAAAAGCAAAAGAAACAAACCCAGAAGTTGAACACACAAAACGTGCCCACGCGGACTTGGACTCGAGCGAGTCTGCGCTCACACTAACACAACCACGCACAACATGAGCGCTCACACACACACACATAAAGCAACACACACCCTGACAGTTTAACACCCTCAGTGAGTAGCAAAGAAAATGAGAAAATAAGAAAAATCTCTTGTTATTGACGAGTTTAACACGAATGCACATCCATCTTTTATCAACATGAATGGACATTAAATAGACGTTTTAAAGATGAGCAGAGGAATTTAAAGGAATACAACTGCTGAAAGATTATTTTAATGTTCATGTAATGTTTTAAAACTAATTTAGACTTTCACATAGGTGAAAAATGTTGGTGTAACTGGCATAAAATGAATGTCAGATAGAAATAAATACGCACAAGCATAATGACAAAATTACCTAAAAATCATGATAAAAAAAAGACATTTAAATATAGTTATTCAGTATACCAGAAATATGTAATTATTATATTATTGATATTATTGCAAAAGACGTTGAAAATCTTGGAGATCACTGTGTGATGTGTTCCCACTCTGCATGAAGATAGTAGTTATGCCAGTCCGAAGTGGAGTCATCTAGTATCAATCAGTTGTTCCCAACCTTTAGTCCACAGACAACCCCCACCCCCATCTCTTATGACAAAAGAAAAGCTGTGCACACAGGCATGCAGAAAGAATAATTTGATTTATCATTTCCTGTTTGTCCATTCTTCAATTGGGATCAATTTTCTTAAACAAATTAACAGCCGGTGTCTTGATATTTCATTTATCTGTTCAGGATGAGATGTCCAGATGTTCGTGGCAGCTGTTAAAGGTTATTTCATTTATAATTATTATTGTGTTAAGGAGCTGAAGACTCACACAAACACAGCACCAATGAGACCTGAAACTAAGTGATTGGTCACTCTGGGCCCAGATTGTTATTTGGCGATCCAAAAGTTTTCTCGCGGACTTTTTCCCGATTTGAAGATGGTTGAGTTCCTCACAACTGGGGTGTTGGAGCGACTTACTGGATGCTGATGTGGAGCCTTCAGAGTTGTGGCACAGTCAGAGGTGATGTGGTGAGTCTAGTTATGACAGCGATGAAGTGAGTGCACGTTTACTGCTGTTTGTTTTTTACCTACAACAGTTGGCGACCAGTGCAGATACCTCTGCTCTATTTATCAGTTTTGGAAATTATGTTAGAAAAGCCTTTATAAATCATAAAATCTTTGGATTATCATTCAGAGCACATGACAATGTTCTCCTTAGTCAGCCGAATGAACAAATGAAAAACCCCCATATGTATATATATAAACAAACTGGATTCCAAAACAGTTGGGACACTAAACAAATTGTGAATAAAAACTGAATGCAATGATGTGGAGATGGCAAATGTCAATATTTTATTCGTAATATAACATAGATGACAGATCAAAAGTTTAATCTGAGTAAATGTAACATTTTAAAGGAAAAATATGTTGATTCAAAATTTCACAGTGTCAACAAATCCCAAAAAAGTTGGGACAAGTAGCAATAAATGGCTGGCAAAAGGAAATTGAGCATATAACGAACAGCTGGAAGATCAATTAACACTAATTAGGTCAATTGACAACATGATTGGGTATAAAAAGAGCTTCTCAGAGCGTCAGTGTCTCTCAGAAGCCAAGATGGTAAGAGGATCACCATTTCCACCATTGTTGCGCAGAAAGATAGTGCAGCAATACCAGAATGGTGTTACCCAGCGTAAAATAGCAAATACTTTTAAGTTATCATCATCAACTGTGCATATCATCAAAAGATTCAGAGAATCTGGAACAATTGCTGTGCGTAAGGGTCAAGGCCGTAAAACTCTACTGGATGCTCGTGATCTCCGGGCCCTTAAACGTCACTGCACCTCAAACAGGAATGCCACTGTCAAGGAAATAACAGAATGGGCTCAGGGACACTTCCAGAAAGCATCGTCAGTGAACACAATCCACCGTGCCATCCGCCGTTGCCAGCTGAAACTCTACAGTGCAAAGAGGAAGCCATTTCTAAGCAAGCTCCACAAGCTCAGACGTTTGCACTGGGCCAGGGGTCATTTAAAATGGAGTGTGGCAAAATGGAAGACTGTTCTGTGGTCAGATGAGTCACGATTTGAAGTTCTTTATGGAACACTGGGACGCCA